GGTTTGGATTTTTTTTTTTTTTTACTTTACTTCAGATACGTTCAGCTTGCTTTTCCCTTTGTTTTTCTAATTCTAGGTCTTTGCACATTTCATTATAAGTTTTGGCTTTATCTCCTAAACAGCCATTTTAAATTTGAAAGGATGCAATAGATCATCAAAACTAGAACACATTAAAAGTTATTCGAATGGTAAAACACATGGTTACATGTAAAATTTTCACCTAAGTATGTCTGCATCAATAACCATTCTAATGCACTGTGGCTGAGGGCAAAGCTATTCAGATGGAAACTCTAGGCTTGGATTTTTCTTACTCTAGTTCTTTCAGATTCTGGTATGTTCAGTATGTTCTTTGCTTCTGGTTTTCTAATTCTAGGTCCATGCCCATTTCATTCTAATATTTGGCTTTATCTCTTTGAGCTTCCATTTGAAATCCAAAAATAAGCATTAGATAATTGAAACTGCAACAAATTCAAAATTAATCAAAATGTAAAACAAATTGGAATATGTTAGCATTTCTCCTAATGACATCTTCATGAATTTCCTTTGTACTGCACTGTGTCTGAAGGCCAGGCTATTCTCATCCTTGGCCAATGGTTCCAGTGAATCATTGCAGGATTAATCTTCATGGGGACCCTGCACATGGATATTGGGCTTTCGCTGTCACCTGTAGCCTTTTGCAAATCAGGGGTCAGAATTTAAGCTCTCTGTTAGTCTGGGTAGTCTGAGAAACAAATTCATAGACATTCATCTGGGTGGAAGAAAGAGCTTTATAATCAAGACCAGTTGAATATTGAGAAAACATCCCAGCCCAGTTCAGATCAAGTCCATAAGTCCCATGTTAGCCCATGTGTCTAATGCCAATCTATAAAGTCCTCTTCAGACTTATGCAGCACATGCAATTACCAAATGCATGAAGATCACAGGCTAGTGGGTGGAAGATGTTGTGGATCTAGTGGTGGTAGAGGAACCTCAGCTCTGGCAGGGGTGTCCATGTGGCTCTAGAACTCTAGTGCAGTTCCATGTGTCTTGAAAAAGGAGATGTCTCTATGGAAGTGAGCCAGTGTCTGCCTACAACCCAAATGAGGTCATCAAGCTGTGATCTGATTGACAGGCTGCCTCCACCCCTTCACTCTTAAGCCTCAAATTGACACTGGATTATATACCAACCACAAGCTCAAATACAATTCTTTTTGCACATCTGGGATTTTAATGATTACACTCATTGTACAGCATGGGCCCAAATATAACAATGTCACAAAAGGCAAAAAAAATCTATCTATCTATCTATCTATCTATCTATCTATCTATCTATCTATCTATCTATCTATATGAAAATAGCAAGTACACTGTAGTCTTAAGTTGCCAATTATTTGGCAACCTTCAAAGCCAGAAACTATATCCAAAGTGCCTGACAACCAAATGCATGGATTTGGAGAGCAGCTCACTCCTGCTTCTCACCCCATGGTGTTATAGCTTTAAGTTAAATGTAAGATTTTGGTTCCCCTAATCTCCACCTGGTGTACCTAAAGTCCAATCCTTTCTATAGTATTCCATACAATAATTCGGTTGTGGTCTGTAAAGAATGCTGTACAACTTGGAAAGGTGAAATCTAAAATCCAGGTGCTCTGTAGTACACAGCCAGGGTCATAGAGGTTTTAAAAAACTTAGTGAAAAAAAAAAAGATTGATTAGCAACCTGATAAAAACTTAGTCATAGTTGACTGGTGTCTTATAAAATGAGAACAATCCACACAGAGACACTCATTATGGGAAGTCAGACACCAAGGAACTCTGGGTTACCAACAAGCAGGGGCCTCCTTAGAAGTCATGGCTGATTTGGACTTTTAGCCTGGACAACTGTGAGACAAGGACTCCCTGTTCTTTAGTCTCCCACTTACCGTATTTCTCATAAGAACACCAGGGAAGTAAGATAGGTGGAAGCTAAAAAAGATATTTGCCTTAGTTGTTTTCAAGGTGCTAGCTCCCCACGGTGGATAATCCAGGACTTCAGGCCTGTCCTCTGCTGACCAGGCCTCTGGGTTTCTCATCCTCAGAGGATCTCAGCACAACCTGTGTCTCTAATCCCTTCCCTTTGTACATTGACATGCATCATCCTAGGACCAATGGTGAGGTTAAGCAGGTTAGCCCCGGTTCGGCAGGACTGATTCTCAATTCTGTGTTGAGTTTGGTAAACCAGTGGCCTTTGTAATTAGGGTTCTCTGCCCAGCTGACCAATGTGGAAATCATAGATTTACATTCCTCACTCCCTTTTAGCATTAATTTGCACAACACTACATAGTAAGGGCCCATAGTTTATGTTCATCATGTTCATAAGTCTAAAAAAATTAGATGGAACTATGTTTATCATATTTCTTTGTTCATTTCATAAACTGGTTATACTTTTGGTGAAGGACTACATTTTTATAGCAAACAAAAATATAATGTAAAGAGAAAAAGTTAAACAAACAGAGGGTGACAGGCTGTCATTGGATTCAGCTTTGCGTTATGTCCCAAAATCCCATGAGATACTATGAATGACTTATGCAATTTCTGAGCATGCTCAAAGAGCTAAAAGTCTTGTCAGAACAAGCGCTGTCAGTTCAGCAGAACCTGACTTTCAGTTCAGCAGACCTGATAGGGATTTTTCATGGATGAACATAATATGCTCCGAGAAGGGAAGAGCCTAACTATTTCTAATATATCAAACGCAGGGACTATAGTCTAGTATCCACTTTTAAAGGAATGGGATCCTATTCCTAAAATGAAGAGATGGTTAAGGATAAATCACACAGATTAGCATGCTAACATAAAAGTGAAGAATGTCATTCAAGAATCAATATGGAAATATCTAATAACCTTTTATTGGTTTTTATGTCAGGTATTATTTAATCATTTTCATTAGTATTTTAAAACTGTTTCTAATAGCACAATCTAGTTTGTTGTTAACAGTTTTAAGGCACTTCATCCACATCTCTACAATTCCATCATTTCTTATAGCACTGTCTGATTTTGTTCGCCTCTTTTATCGTGCTTATTTCAGTCTGAACTCTTTGAAATAATAAACTGCCTTTCACAATATCAATTTTTAGATACTTAAAACTACCATGAGGCAGTGAACAGGTTGTTATGTTATTTGACTCTCAGGCCTGCCTTTGAACCCAGGGATGTTGGTTTGGGATGTGGATCCAAGAAACTTTGAACCTGTTCTTTCCTGGCTCTTTGCTGTTCATTCCACCGATTTCTGACACCCATACTCTCCCCTCTAGTAGTGCATGTGACTTGTCCCTAGGGGACAAGTGTCCCGGACAGCTCCTAGGGGCTCTGTCTCCAGGCACCAGCATGCTCCTCAAAGCTCCTCACGCCACCCATCTCAGACCCTTTGTCACTGCTCCTGGCCTGCTGTGCTCCACCAGCTGTGCCGTCGCAGTGGATGGAGAACTGGTCACTCAAGGCACTGGGCAGAGCAAGGCACAGTCCCCCTAACAAAGGAGGAGGCTGTCATTTAGGACCTGCCCTGGACCAAATGGAGAGCATGCCTGATGGTCACTCATCAGCTGGAGAAGAAAGTCCGCAGTGAGGAGGAGGTGCAGGGGCCTGAAGCCAGTGCAGGGACGGGAGTAAGGGCCAGGGCCGATACACTGGGCCAATGGCCAGGCTGGTCTAATGGAAGGGTGTGGCACCCAAAAGATTCAATGGCCGTCATTGTAGAAAGACTGTCTACATGATATATTCAAATGGCTGAGGCCATTTTATTGGAATCGAACATCAGAACAAGGTATTTCCAGGAAATGCAAATAAGGGGCTTCAAGAAAATGCAACAGAATTCCGTAGAGCTCTGTAGGGGATGGACTTGTCCTCGCCCCGCATGGCTTCCTTCCAGCGGGGCCACTTTTCTTTCAGTAGGAAGACTTGGCCAGTCCTTCTGGGGGTCCTGAGGCAGGACTCGGCTGGGCATTTGCTCAAAGGCAAAATGGGAGACAGGTAGCCCAGAGAAGCGTGGCCCCTGGACCTGTCTGCCCCAGTTCTCCATCATGGCCTTGCTGGCCAAAGGACAGCCCTTGGAGTCCATCACATTCCAGCGCCAGGCTCATTGTCCATGGCCCCCTTTCCCAGAAGCCAATCTGCCACCTCCAGGACACGCCCTGGTCACTGGGAGCACTGCAGCCAGATGTGCTGCTCAGCCACTCGACACTGGAATCTGATGTCCTTTCTGGTTGGCACGGATGTCCCCCTCACCACAGGCCTCCACCCATGAACTGTGCCAGGCCATTCCCATTTCCTCCAGGGAAGGGTAGTCGGCCCTCTGGATGGAACTGTGGGATGGCAGGTGGCTGGGATGCTGTTACTCCCTCAGCTGTCCCGCACAAGGGACGCTGAGGCCACCAATCCCTGGGGTTGAGCCCCACACCTGAGGGCACTGCAGCAGTCAGGAATCTCATAGGAAGCCCTTTTCCCAAGTCAGAGACAACCCTCTCTGCCCCAATGAACATCACCAGTGCTTCATGCTGGAGCCACAGACACGATGGCAAGGGACAGGCAGAGGTCCATCAGGGGAAACTGGCCAGCAGAAAGGCACGCAGGGCACCAGAAGTGTGTCTTCTGCCCTATGGTCTGTGCTCCTGGTTCCCTGGCCGTGGTCCAGGAAGTCCTTGCCAAGGGTTTCTGAGTCTCTACTTCTCTTCTCTGGGCCTGAACCCTGTTGACTTGATCCAAGTGGACACAAGAAACCACGGCCCAACCCTTCCTTGTGTGGTGTCTCAGTGGTACTCGAGGTCCAATGGATGTGGTGTTTAAGGATGGAGCCTGGCTGTCTAGAGCTCTATGTCTTGCAGTTGGTTGTTGGGAATAAGGTGAGCCAGCAGGGCCTAGGGCAGTGAATGGTCAGGGTAGCAGGTTCAGACTTCAGCACAGGGCTTGGATGGAGGCAGAGCTGCTTGTTGGGGTGGGGGTGGGAGGTGTAGGGGGGAGGAGGCTACTGGTGTGTTCCTCTCTGAGCAGCCCCTAGGCTGCCTGGCCGATCATGTTTCTGTAGTTGGGCACGATGGTGCGTTTCAGTTCCCCTCCGGAGGAGAAGATCCAGTTCACCTGTGGGTGACACGGGGGTGGTCATGACCAGGGCAACCCCAGCCTCCCCTGGTTGATTGGGCCTCTACTGGTGGGCAGAAGAACCCTGATGGGGGCAGTGGATTGGGGACTGGCACAGGGTAGCGTTGTGATATGCCGACCTTGAAGAGCGTGACGGTGGCGCTGTAACACACGCTGAGCAGGAAGAGGGTGATGAAGATGGAGATGGTGGTCCACAGCCCGTCCAGCTCCCCCTCCTGGGCCTCTGCACAACTCTCATCTGGGGGCAGCTCTGGACAGGGGAAGAGCAGTCAGTGATTGTGTCCTGCCCCAACATGTACTCAGAGATTGGGGTGGGGGTGGGGGTGGGCAGCAGTACAGTTCAGGTGGGGCACTCATCTGTGTGAGTGTGGTTCAATGGTCCCCTCATCAGTATGGCCGGGAAGTAGGGCCCCAAGGTCAGCTCTCCTTGGCTGTGCTTGGCTGGCTTTCTCAGCTCTCTCTTCAGTCCTCAGTCCAGACTCTGTCCTACAGCTTGGACCTCAGCACAGCTAGAAGCCCCTGGGCCTCCATGGAGACCTGGCCAACTGGCACAGGGATGGTCAGGGAAGCATAAAGGGTCATCTGGGGGCAGGGATACTCTGATGTAGCCCCTTCCACTCCCGGACTTCAAACTCTGTCCCACTGAGAAGGCCCAGAGGGGATGAGGGACAGCAGAAGGCACAGGGAGTCCCAGTGGTGAGCAGTGAGCCTACAGTGCCAGGGACAGTGCAAGGCTTTGACTTCTGTGTGTGAGGTGGCAGGAGGGTGAGTGCATGGGCCACCAGCACTGGGCTTCACCATCAGAGTGGTGACCTTGTAGAGAGGTGAGGATCCCAAAGCATCCCCTTCCTTTGGGTGGACCTGGAGGGCCTGGCTGGGAGTGGGTGTAGGTACCTGCCCTTGGGCTGACTCCTCTGGGCTGGTGAGGGAGAAGCAGTGCAGGCAGCACTGGAGGGGGTTGGATGAGACTGATCTGTGTATTCGTGGTAGAGCACTGGGCTCACAGGGATGTGAGCAAGTGGTGTGTGTGTCTGTCAGTGCACATGATTGTGTGGATGTTCGTGCATGCACATGTGTGTCCGTGTACTCTTTATGTGTGTCTGTACGTACATGTAAGTACATCTGTTTCTCAGTGACAGTGTATGTTCACATGTTCCCTTGTGTTTGTCTATGTGTACGTGCTTATGTGTCCATATGTATGTCTAAGTAAATGATCGTATGTCCTGTCCTTATGTAGCTGCATATATGTGTGGGTTTGTTCATGTAGGTGTAAGGGTATGCGTGTTAGTGAGCTCTCGTGTGCCCATGTGTGTCCATGTGTGCACTTCAGTGAGTGTATACGTGCCTGTAAGTCTGCATGTGTTTGTTTGCTCAAATGTGCATGTATAGCTGTGTATGGATGTGAGTTCATGTGCCTACATGTGTATGCTTGTGTGCATGTGTGTATGTGCATGAATGTGAGTGCCTGTATGCTCATGTATGTGTGTGCACATGTGTTCAAATGTGGGGTTTTGCATGTTCTTCTGCATATATACAGGTGTGTGTGAGTGTGCATGCATGTCTGTCTCTCTGCGTGTGCATGAATTTATGCTAGCGTGAGTATGGACCCATGTGTCTGCATGTTTGCTTTTGTGGATGTGTGCACTGAGGGTATGTGTATATTTGTGTAAATGAGTGTGTGTATGTACATACATGTGCGTGAATGTGTCTGTGTGCCTATGTATGTGTGTACATGTGCTCACGTGTGGGTTTTTACATGTGCTTCTGCATATATACAGGTGTGTGTGACTGTGCATGTGTGTCTCTGTGTCTCTCTACGTATGAATGCATTTGTGCTAGTGTGAAGGTGTGCCCATGTGTCCACATGTTTTCATGTGTGGGTGTGTGCACTGGGGAACTTGTGATTGCTGTCATGTGTGTGTGGTGTGTGAGTGGTGGTGACCTGAGGGTGTGGGACTGCCATCTAGCAGGAGGGGCTTGTTTTCCATGTCTCAGAGCTCAGGGACCATGGAGGAATCTGCTCAGTGCTCTCCCTGCCTGGAACAGACAACCAGGTGTGTGTGTGTGTGTGTGTGTGTGTGTGTGTGTGTGTGTGTGTGCGCGCGTGTACAGAGCAACCTGGTTTTGGAGCTGCCCTGGGACAGCATAACCTCCGTGTGACATGGAGCCACCATGGGCGGTTGCTTGTTGGTGGGGGATCCTGAGAGGGGGAACCACTGGCCTGCCTCATTCCCTGCCTGAACACGTAGTCCAGCAGAACCAAACTCCCCTAGGCCTCAGAAAGAACCATGCCAGTCTCGCAGGACCCCAGCATTGAGCTGGGTGCTTTATTTTTGGAGTGAATCTGCTGGGGGCGGGAGTATTTACAAGAAGGTTCCATGTGTGCTTGGGGCCCCAGGAAGCTGAGGGGGCACTGCTCCCACACTCATTTACCCTGGGTCAAAGGGACCACCTTCTGGGTGTAGTGGTTGTGCAGGGCCTCGTGCATCACTGTGCAGTGGTAAACTAGTCCTGGATTCCTGATCTTATTGGACACTTTCAGTTTACTGTACAAGAAGAAGGTCCCGTCGGAATTGGCCTGGGGAGGCGTGTTCACGTAGTTGGCCTGGGGAACAGGCTGCTCATTGCTCTTCCACTCCACATTGATGTCCTTGGGGTAGAATCCATTCACAAAGCAGACGAGTGTGAGCATGTCCTGCTCATCGCTGACTGGGGCCATGGTGTACACTTGAGGAGCCTGAGGCTGTCCTATGGGGGGAGGGGGAATGTGTTAAAGCCATCGTATAGATTAAGACCCCCATGCCCTCTGCCCTAAGACTTCCTATCTCACCCTTGGCCTTGGAGACGGTCCTTACAGCAGGGCCAGGAAGGGCCCCATTGTTGACAATGCACTTGAACTCCTTGCCCGAGAGCCAGTCCTGATGCAGGATGGGGAGCACGCTGGTCACGCGGTAGGTGCCATTGAACTGCTCCTCCTGTGGCTCGGTCTTGGCTGTGTGCACCTCTGTGCCATCCACAAACCAACTGAACTGGACTTCGGGGTCATCCTGGCCCACATCCAACACAAGACACGTCACCTCTGGGTTTCGGGTCATCATGAGGGTGTCCTTGGGCTTGGGTGGGAAGATGAAGATGGAGGGTCCTCCCAGATTTTCAGGAGCTGCTGAGCAGAGCTGAGATGAGTGACAGGTTGGGAGGCTAGGGAGTGTACAGGGCTTGTCCTCCCCCCAGGACACAAAGGTCCTGCTCACAAAGGTCATGCTCACGTTACCTGGGCATCTGCACTCAGTGGTTGATTTCGAGCTGACACCTGGCACTGGGGAGAGAGCAGACAGAGTGGGGCAAGGTGACTTTGGTGCAGAGGAGACCAGTGCCAAGGTCGGTGGGGGTCAAGGCCAGTTCTTCTTTGCAGCTCTGAGACCCACCACCTGACTCTGAGCCCAGGGACTAGTCTTCAGGCCTTCAGCCCATGTCTGCTTTAGGTCTTGCCTGGAGACACCAGGAAGGGCAGACAGCTA